TATAAACATTAGAAGCCAGACTCTATTCCACCTATTGGGCACATAAATGGACCTGAGTACCTAAGGCAGACTCTATTCCCCACTGTTCAAATCCCTGAAAAATCAGTTAATGCACAAGGTGGGTGAGTAATCTTCCTCCTTGCTGCTTTTCTGTGACTCAGTCTTAAGGGTGAGACAACTGCATTTTACAGAAGTTGATGCACAATGGAGCTGCGTGGAATATAATCGCACTGAGGCACCTAAGTCCACTTTGATGCCTAATTGGTAGATGAGAATCTGGCCCTCCATACATTTGTTAAGCAGAGTCAGGTACCTTTCAGGAATTCTTGTGTATGATCTGCTGCTGTCTTTCCCCTCAATTAAAATCAGCTTTCATCTCTCCTTACTAAAGTGATACCAATGGAAAGGAGCTTTAATTTTAATCCATGCCAGGTAGAATGATACACTTCTTTTCAATGCAGCTAGTAATTAGTGCCCTGAAATCTACACTCATTATTTTGAGCCTTCTTTGGCTAGCTTTCAATAACAGATACCTTTATTATGTATTCACTGACTGTATGCATTCAAAAATATGTAATGGATGCTAAAGCTATTAGAAACTTATTCACTCTGCAGCAACCCACAGAAAAATTAAGAAAATAAGGATACATCTTGGCAACTGCAACACTGCAAAAACAAACCCCACATATTTAAACTCTTTGCAAAAATCAAAAACAAAGTCTTCTGTGCATCCTTGGCAACCAAAAAAATAACACAGAGCCTCACCAACTTTTGTCTACATAACAGCAATCTGGGATTAGAATGCTTAACATATTGTATGGCTGCTGACAGTAAAATAACGCCAAATACAAGCAAATGAGCTCACGGAGAGCATATGCAAAATCCTTGACAGTTTCTGTATCTGAAAAGACACCTGTGGCACAAAAAGAACTGGCAGCAAAAACCTGGAAAAAATGTTTTCCTGTGCAAAACAAGAGAGACTTAGACTACAAACATGTATGAGACAAAGCTATGTCAGCAGTGCAAGATCATATGTCAGTATTATTCAGAAACATCACTGAGAAAAAATCGAAGAGACAATGCCCATAGTACCTCAAGTGGGAAATACGTTGTTATTAACTAAGCCTGAACGATATACTTGTCTGATAAAGATAATTCTCAGAAACAGCATAATCCCCACCCTCCCCCCTCAAAAGCTGGAGAATGTGAAGCTATGTAAAAACGAATATAAGAAACACAAATCAAACTCATTGCTGACATTGCTTGCAGGCTTGCTGGTATCTGTGGGACAATGAAAAACAAGCAAGAACTCAGATTTCCCCGTCTCCTATGTACACAAGTGACTGTGTAGCAAGGGGACATGAATGCAAGACAAATAAGGAGAAACTTAAAGACAAAACCTCAAAGCTGGGAGCAGCGGAGAATGTTCCCAGAAGGAACGACAATGCTCCCGGGGGCAGAGGGTGCTCAGTTCACAGTCAGTATGGCTTTTTGTTTGGTTGGTTTCTTGCAAACACGCAGCTGAAGTATACACTTCTATGATTTGTGATAATGAGATTCTCTCGGTGGTAGATTACAGTGCCATCAGCTAAAAATTATTGGATCTCTCTCACAGTGTAGGAGAGTTCAGAGGATCCTGTGGTGTTTTGAAGGATCATTTGCATAATTTCTGTAGAGCTATTTCAGATTTTCACTGAGACTTTTATGGATTTTGCAGGGTGAACGATGGCATTTTCCAGCTGATAGTGCCCTTGACACCTCCAGACTGGAATAGCACAATGCATCCCTAGCTGTGGCTACACCTGAGGCTGATAAACTTCAGCTGGTAGAAATTAAGGCTTCTTATCATCTTACCAGTACCTCCTGCAGGGATCATATTGCTCCCATACTCCAGTGTCCTAAAGGCCCCTGCCTACATCGGCTAGGAATCAGCCTTCAAGAATCTCCTAATGAGCTACGTCCATGACAATGGTCCTATGAAGGACCTCAAAGCTTTATTGGGACTGGAGACCTGCACTTTGCCGGGTGGATGTCACGATCATCATTACAGGACCTTGAAACCTGAAGATCTTCATGTTCCAGCCTGTAAAGTGAAATCCTTAAAAGTGCTCCCAACATCAAACTCCCCAGGTGGGAAAATAGGTTTTATTCATTAAATAATCAGAAACTGTCACTGTGTAACCCAGAAGCTGGAAACCTAAGGCTTCTGGGCTGAATCTGGCCTGTGGACCTGTTGTGTCTGGCCCATGGAGCTGAGGGACTTTGGTGGCATTCAGTGACAGGCGCTATGCCTGCCCCATGCTGCAGCAGTCAGGAGAAGTAGCAGTGATGGCAGCAGCCAGGCTCCAGTGCCAGCCCAGCTCAGACCTGAGCTGTGTCAATCTGGCCTGCAGCTGGAAAACATAACCAACTGCTGGTTTAACCTAAATGCAGGGCTAATTTCCAGAGGGCAGGAAAAGGATGTGATTAGATCAGAATTGAAAAGATAACCAATTTCCAAACAGGGCAAAGAGGACTCTATGTGCCACACTGTTCAGTCAAACTCTAACGAGGCCCTGGGAGTACAGTCTTGAAACACTGGCTGATTCTTAGCCAATTGGGAATGACTAGGTTTTCCATATATGAGGCTAGAGGCCATTAAAATTTTTGGCCACAAACCTCACTAACCTGCTTAAAGGAAGGGTATTAAATAACAGCCAAGGGAAAGCAGAGAGTAATACATGAATCCTCATGAATATGAATACATACGTGGCAGGAGTCCTGAAGGCTGAGCTCACATGTTCTTCTTACCAACCACACTCAGGTGTTTTAGTGCAGCATTAAAATAATGATTGATATTATCCAAGTGTCTGGAAGTGCTCACTGAGTTGGGTCTCCATCATAGTAGGAGTGTTTTTAATAGATTGATAAGACAGGCAAACAGAGGACGAAATAAATGATGTCTGCCTCCATTTTACAGGTGGGAACTGAGGCACAGAAGACACTGAAGTCATGGACCATTTCACTAGCAAAGCTGGGATGTGCAGAAACCACCAGACCATGCCTCTTGCTCTCGTACTTTTGTAGTGTGATGGTAATCCAGACTAAAACCCAGCTACTCCTATTCCCGGCCTCTCAGAATTGGAAAGTGGCAGTAGGATTTTGTCGATGGCGCTGGTAAAAGCTAAGCCTGGCGTGATGGCTGAATGATTGAAAACGCACGAGTGGAAATGTGTTGTGGCTCTACTCACTGTTCTCAGACAGCTCCACCATGTAGTAGAGAACGGGGCTGTTTCCATCAAAGGGACGCACCCAGGAAAGCATCACGCTGCGGCTGTACGAGGCATTCAGCGCTGCCACGAGGTTCTGAGGAGGATGAGGGAGCTCGCTAAAAAAAAAAAAGAGAGAGAAAGAAAAACCCCACAAAAAATTAAACTGCCCCTTACCCAGCCAAAAGCTAACAGGAGGTTAGACATTCATATGTCATCAGACTTGTATAATGACAGATGTAAATGTACCAGAAGCCACCATAAAAAAAAAAAATAACAACAGAGATCTCCAAATTATTCCCAACTTTGTCTTGTTTCTAAAATATAATTTACGCAGAGAGTCCTGAGGCTGACACAGTAACAGCTAACGGAACTGTTACTTAATGTGGAAAAATGCCAATTTTCAAACCGCATTTTTTAAATTGAGACAACTTGGTCAGTAATTCTTTTTTACAACAATGTCATAATAACGGAACAACGGTAAAACATATAAACAGTATAACACATAGGAGCTATGATTTAACACAGAATTTTTCATACTCGGGCAAGCAGAAGACACCGACACTATCCATATAGAGTTACTAATCAAAATTACCGTATGTATTCTTACGCTACAGAACAGCTTGATTTACTAGAGGATGCAAGCTTATCCTGTCATGGGTAGAATCTTTTCGTCATATAATAAGGATTTTTTGGGAGCGCCCACGCAGAAAATGTAGAGAAAATGCCTGCAGAAAACCCCATGGAAAAGCTAAAAGAAATGTTAAAAAAAACAAACAAAACAGCAGCGCAATTAAAAAGTGTAATTTCTAAAAATAAATGCGATTTATGGAAAAATACTTCATTTGGATTCATTGGCTGAAATTGATGGAGGCTGCACAGTAGAATGAGGAAATGAAATTGTGCTGCATTCATTAAATGCTTGTCTGAAAGACCTACAAAAACAGCAAGAGGCCTCTAGCCATTACGGCTGTGCGACGCTTCAGGTGGT